TCACCTGACCCGAAGTCTTATCTTCTTCACCCGCATACAACTACAGTGGTCACTCGACGCAACAAACACAATAGCACAAACAAGGGGCCAATGTCCATGATAATATTTAAAAACCAATATTATATAGATTTGTGAAGTAATGGCTAAAAATGTCATTTTTGCAAAAGTAAGTACTTGTTAGAAAAGTGGTTCGCCAAGCATCTTCACTCCAATAAGTATTTAAAATAAGTATAAATGGTTTTAGAAAGGAGTCGCCAAACAATAAATACTTATTCAAATAAGTACTTAAAAATAAGCACTTACAAACCACTTTTTCTAATGAAATTTGATGTCATGTAATGAGAAAAATCAAAATTTCAATAAAATGAGATTCCTAGAAACTCATTCTAATATTTTCCTAGAACATTAGAGAAAAGAGGGAAAAAATAATTTCTTTTATGTACTAAATTACAGAGAAGAATTTAAGCGAATAGGAAACAAGAGATATCAAGATTTATAGAAATTGATTTTACTTACCCATTTGATGTTCATGGTTTTAGCATATTTATTTTTTTTTTGGAAAAATCTTATTTCAGTCCATTAGATTTTATTTTGAAAATTTGAAGAGCAATGAAGGGAAAAATCAACTGTACAAAGACAATTTTGGGTTTTAAAAACTTTGTCACATATGAACAGATTGTGATGGAACATTAACAAACACTAATGGCAGAGGAGGATTTAATCAATTGTTAAAAAACTTAAGATTACTCTAAAACAATTTCTAAACAATAGGGATATGGTAAGTCAATTTCTTAAAACTTAGGGATACTTTAGATTTGCCCTTTTAATAGGACATAACATCAAAGCCCTAAAGCAACACAATTACCATCTCATAGGGGTGCAAATGATTTGATTTGATTTCAAATATGATCCTATTTTGTCGGATTCAGATACACTCCTATTGGATTTCGAATTGGAATCACCCATGTTCTATAAAAAATTATGTATATTATTTATTTATTTATAAATATATTTATATTACTTTTTTATAATTTTTTATAAAATATAAAAATCTCCCCTATACTTTCACTTTAACAAAAACCTCCCCTCTATTTTTAAAAGTCTAACAAATACCTCCCTTCTGTCAATGACCAAAACAAAAAAGTTAATGTGTATATATTTTTACTAAAATAGCCCTATCTCAGCAACTCCATAATCCACTCTAATATTGTTGATCTTCTAACTCAGAGGCACAGCGGCAGATGGTGGTGCACTCCCCCTCCAACCTTCCCTCTTTTTTAATTTCCCTCTCATTCTCTCTCTCTCTCCCTACAAACACGAAATAGCACTATTCATCATTCCCCTCTCCCCGACTAAAACACACAACGGTGGCGATTGAATTCGATCTCCACCTCCGGCCATCCGAACTGTCAGTCGTCCAATGGTGGTACTGGGATGGTGGACTAGCTGTTAGTGAGGGGAACACATCTAAGAATTCCTCACTAACAACTAGTCTTTGTTTCAACGAAAATGAGATGGATGATAATGTCAGACGTCCAACGATGGTACTGGGAATTTCGTTCAACAACGGGAACGGTACTCTGTTTTCTCGTTCATTACAAGAGGAAGCATGGATGTAATGAACGAGTTGGTTCAAGTTGAAAATGGAATGGGGAATTTACATGCATAGATTAGCTTTTGCAGGTGACGGGTAGATAGTAAAGAAGATCGGGCACTATTCTCTATGAAAATGAAATGGGGAATTTACATGCATGGATTAGCTTTTGCAGGTGACGGGTAGATAGTAAGGAAGATCGGACACTAGTTCGATCAATTCTCTAAGCTCAACAGTGATCTCGACGAGAATAAGCTCCGATCCTGATGTCCAAGTGACTTGTAGTAGAGGCTGTAGGCCTGTAGCAGTTATCAGGCCGCACTTACACTATCGAAGTGCAACCCATACTACAACAAAACTTCAAAGCTTARACGAATTCATTTTTCGAGTTTCCATCGGTCATCCTGGAGTGCGACTGCGTTGACCCGAGGGCTTGTGTTTACTTATCTGCTTATCCTTGTCGTAGACTGGCGAAGGGAAAGCTCCGGGTTCATAACTTGATTTGATCGTGTCGTTTGGAGTTCCAATCCCGCTTTATTAAATTGTTTGAGTGTGATCCTACAAATAACCTATAGATTGGGTATTAGTCCAGCCACTGGGTTCTGAAGAGTCTTTAGCTACTGTGCAAAAGGAATTGGTGATGTGCAATAGTTCCCAAGCCAGAAGTAGATTAGTTTTGAAGAGTCAAGCAAGAAGAGGATTCACTGCCACAGCCACCATACATAGAGATATGAATGCCAAGAGATGGGTACAGAGCATTAGAATGAGTTTGACTGTATTAAAAGTGGGATATATACTTCATAATCTTATTCTATACTGATAGAATTATAGAGGGACATAATGAATGTGATGTATGCCTCCAAACTTTCCATTGTTCATGCCATCTTTTGCAAGTATGAAAAGATAAATGGTAAGACGTTTCATGGTGCTTGATCAGAATGATTAAATGTTCAAATCTGTGCATCTCATACAAGTAATCTTTGCATTTTGAAGTGTCAGTATTTACATTGATCTATATGAAATACAAACTGTTAGTCTATGTCCTAGAGATATTGTTTCTGAGCAATGCCTTATGCATCATAAGTATCCATAGCTACATACTCCTACACTTCATCAAGCTTTTGCAGGGCTGGATGGATGTTGAAGAATTGATTGCTTTGAAGGGTAACTTCGTTATCTGCTCTTTAAGCAYTATAATTCTCAATGATGCTTATTGTTGCATAATAGAACAAATGCAAAGGATTTACCTTAAAGCCTCCAGGTGTTGCCAGTACCCTCATCAATGAGGGTTTTAGTGTTTTAGAGTTTCTAGTTTGAATTACATAGTGGAATGGTTTCTAAAAGCAGAGTCAATGCCAATCCTATGTGTTTCCTTGTTGGTTTGAAAAGGGATAATATGAAATTGTAGATTTCCTGGTTTTGGATGCCAGGATGGCCCATCCCGCACACTCTCAAATGAGTATATGCATGGATTGTTATTTTTATTTCAAATATGGACACACACAGATGCAGGAACCAAATTCTGATGCCAAGGAGATGATCCTTTAAGATGAATAAACAAGAACTTGTGGACATGTACAAACTATTAAGTTAGTTCATATTTTCTTGAATTTTATTAGGAAAAGGTCTAAAGATTAGCTTTTCTACTTTAGGAAAAATGACATTGATTGTGTACATTAGCTGTTCATTTATGACCACTGAGAAACGAGAAAAACAAAAATGTCACAGAAGTGTCCTTTAAGAGTCCATTGGATTGTTGAAATCTAACAAATGTATGACACTTCATCCATTTGGATGAACAGGATTGTATGTGGAGTGATTAAGGATGGATTTTGATACTAGACCACATAATTGACTTATCACTATTCTTTTAAACTAGCTTTGTTCCGTAATCAAGTGACTTATAGCAGTCTTTCCAGAGCAAGGGCTTTTGGATGGCAAAAGGTCCTGGGTGTTTAAATGATGGTGAGATGATTTATGATAATTCTTCCAGAATTGAACCAAAGCGTGTTCACCCATGGTTTGTAGATCTTCCCAACAAGAAGCAAGCAATAGATGCTTCAAATGGTAAGGGTCGGTTTGGTTTGTAGTCGGAATTGGAATCGGAATGGTTCATTCCTATAGTCTATTTGGTTTAAATAGGAATGGGAATGGGAATTAAAATCAGTAGGAATGGGATTTCATTCCTAAGGGAGGGGCAAGGAATAGCCATTCCTTCAAATGGAGGAATGTCATTTCAGCAGGAATGGGAATGGGATTTCGGTTCGGCCCAACCAAATAGTTGGAATCGGAATAGCCCATTCTGATTCCGATTCTAGACCCCTATTCCCGTGAACCAAATGGGGCCTAAGTCAATTTCGAGAATTTCAAACATAAATATTTCTCCATGGGATAACACTTCAAGTTTCCAATCAGTGTCGAGCCAGTTTGGTGACCGGTTATTTGGATCTGAGCCAGCAAGGGCTATCAACTTTGGTGTAGTCAAGGTTCAAAGTATTGGCACATATCGGCCTGTATCGGCCAATACGTATCGTTTCGGGATCCCTCTAATGCGCCCCTATAGTGGGTGTATCGGGGGTCTGACCGATTTGGAGGATGGAGGAGACCTAAACCAGCCCCCTGAACCAGTTTCAGAAAAAAAAAAAAAAAAACTACAAAATATAGTATCGATTCACCTGATACACCATACCGGCATATCGGGCGTATCGATATTTTGAACCTTGGGTGTAGCCCTGTAATGAACGAAATTCCCATTACAGGGTTGCCCACCCTAGAGGAAGCATGGTTGCCCACCGGCTCCACCCATTACAGGAAGCTTCCTCCTATAATGAATGAGAAAACAGAGTACCATTCTCGTTGCTGAACGAAATTCGCAGTACCATCGTTGGATGTCTGACATTGTCATCCATCTAGTGCCATGATGGCCCACCAATTAAAGAAGAGGGAAGGTTGGAGGGGGAGTGCACTCCCATTCTGCCGTTGTGCATATTGAGGAAAAAAAAAAACAATATTATGGAGTTGTTGAGACAGGGCTATTTTAATAAAAATAGATACATATTAATTCGTAAAAGGGTAAAATAAGTATTTTGAAAAAAAAATTAATCATCTCTTTAACGTTTTCTATCTTGGTCATTGATGGAAGGGGGTATTTATTGAATTTAAAAAAAAAAATAGAAGGGTGGTTTTTGTTAAAGTAAAACTATAAAGAGGTTTTTGTATTTTACTCTTATGACAAAAATAGTTGAAGAAAATACTTGTATTTCTTCTTTATATAAACTGTTATAATTTTAAAACTTTTCAGAAATTAAATCGGATCAAGTCATATTTGGAATAATCAGTGCCTCTAAGATCATCTTCGGATTGGATCTCTACTCTAGTAGTAGTACTTAGCTCGTAGGGATGGTTTTGCCATTTTTAGAAAGTGAGGGAGAATTTACGTCTTGCTGTTCTTTTTCTGCGATGAACAATGGAAATGGCATTAAAAACCAGTAATGAAGACTTTCTTGATGAAGCCCATCGTTCTTCTGACAGTCACCTTCACAAGCACTTCGCTCTTCATCTTGTACTGCCGGCCAATCCCATCTCCACAAAGACCAGACTACATGGCTCGGAGCTTTATTCTCTGGCTCCATGGACTAGGCGACTCAGGTCCAGCGAACGAACCCATCAAAACCTTCTTCACTTCTCCTGAGTTTAGGAACGCCACCTGGTCTTTTCCCTCGGCTCCTTCTAATCCCGTCTCCTGCAATTGTAAGTTATTAATCTGATCGAATTTTCATAATGTTTTCTATGGCTTTCGTTTTCTTTGCTTCATATTTTTAGCTCTTTCAATGGTGTTGTTCTTAAAGCTAAATTGGGCGGCGGTGGCGGGGGAGGGAGATTAAAGGGGAAAACCAAAAAGAAAGAAAATCCCGTCTTTGTAGCGGTTCTAAGTAGAATTCGATGAAACTTAGTTTGATCGTAGTTTGACATTTTATGGACAAATACCAGTTATTCCCAAATTGTGATTTTAGCCCTCGAATTATGAGAATGAAATGTTGCTGAAGAATTGATGAGGTGATAAATAATTAGCACCGGTGGCGCTAAACTGTCTCTTACGTAGTACATTGGAAATTTCTATAATACTGGTGTCACAACCAGTTGTGACGAATCCAGACAATTGAGTCTTTCTAATGTTGTATTTCACAAACAAAGAAGTACATTGGAAATATCTATAATACTGGTGTCACAACCAGAAGAAACAAATACTTGCTGCCTTCTTAGTAAATGCACGATAATCATCTCTAATTTCAAATTTCAACTAAGCCTTGTCCTAACTATATGGGGTCTGCTACTTCAACCCATGTCTTTTTTAGGTCTGCTTCTCTAGGACGAATTTCTAGGTTCCCCTTCTCTAACGTGGTGTGGTCAAATTTTCTTCTCTTTGTAGATGGTGCTGTAATGCCTTCATGGTTTGACATATTCGAGATACCGGTGGGTCATGTAAGTTATTATCCCCTTCTTTTGACTTACTATGTTCTCTTTTAGAATTCTCTGGAGATATCTTCCGGTTAAATTTTTAAGTGATGATGGTCATTACTACCAGGGATAGACTGGATATGGACCTAACGTTTGACCCTTTTGAGCCTGCGTTCTCATGCTTTTCAGCCTCCATTGCACCAAGCAATGACCTCTATCTTTAGAAACAAATAACGCTTAAAAAAGTTACAGTAAATTACCAATAAAATGAAGTTTTGAGTGAATTTTGTTCTGTCAGCTTAGAAAATTTGAGAAAACATGTGTAGAATGAAAAATGCATATTGCTTTTTGTTTACTGAACTGAAGTATGGATATGCGAAAGGATTTCACTTATCCTTTTAACAGTTTTTAAGTCAGAGATACAAGAAGCAAAATAGAAAACAAACATAGCCCCTGACTTTCTAACATTCTCATGTTAGTAAATGAGCAATGTATGAAAATGTTCTTACTGATCTTCAGAAATCTGCTACAAGCAGAATTTCGAACTATAGTCCCATCCCATACATATGCGGTAGTATATGGCTTTGTCAATTCCCATCCCATACATATGTGGTAGTATATGGCTTTGTCAATTGTTGATAGATGATATGATCTATATGGAACTATGGATCTGTCATCTGATTTTTAGTTTACATTGCCACTTATGCAACAATGTAATTGGATTTTCTTCTAATCAGGAATCTCCTAAAGATGAAAGTGGTGTACTTAAAGCAGTGCAAAATGTGCATGCAATGATAGACAAGGAAATAGCTTCTGGCACAAACCCTGAGAATGTTTTCCTCTGTGGATTTAGTCAAGGAGGTATGAACTCCACCTCTCTCTTTCTCTCACTCTACTCACCCACATTGATTCCTAATCTCCTGTGAAAAAAAAAGCCTGTCCATTTATAATACTTTTTCCAGCTGAATTAATGGACCATCTAATTTGAAATGATAACAAAATGCTAGGTCATTAGAACTGAAGGAATTCTGATAAGCATATATACTAGCGAATCACCTTATTTTCTTAATGACAAAGCAAGAAAATTAAAGAGCCTGTGGATCAGCAAAACTACAATAATTGTTTACCAAGGAAGAAATCATATTAAGACAAAATACACTTGGAAATAAAAAAAAAAACTGTGTTTGCATGGGTCTTTTGTTGGTGAGAGAAAACTCCCACAGACACATATCCAAGGATAATATTGGTATATACTAATAATGTGCAAATTTGTAATAAGTTTGGCAGGTGCTTTGACATTAGCCAGTGTTTTGTTGTATCCAAAAACCCTGGGTGGAGGTGCAGTCTTTAGTGGATGGGTTCCTTTCAATTCTTCAATGATAGAGCGCATCTCAGCAGAAGCAAAGAAGGTATTCTTCTAATATACTAAACTAAAGGTGTCTGACTTGTCAAAAAAAAAAAGCTAAAGGTGTCTGATTATCTGTTCTTAATAATCAGAATTTGTGTTTGATTCTTATGTTTTTATATTGTCATTATTTTGCACAGAAAGTCTGTTAACACCAATTTAGTGAATGGGCACTATACCAATGGCATGTGGTTCAATGGTACACCATAATTTTCAATAACCACAACTTCCTTTTGGCTTCACCTTTGTATATCTTTCATCGAAGAGTAGAACCAACATAACTAGATGTCCTAATTATCCGACTTATTTGCATGAGTGATTTTTTTTTTTTGGCCATGAGAAAAATTTATTACTAATGATCAAGAAATAAGTTGATTGCAAAGATGATTTAACATCATTCAAAACCTGTCTTCCAGATATGCCACCATATTATTTCTTTACCATCTGGGGTGAAACATGCCCAGATGCCCTATCAATGACTCTATGGCTTAGTGTTTTCAAATAGTCACTATGGTGTCTAGGCATTCTATCAGGGCTAGGTGATTAACTGCTTAAGTGGGTATATATACTAGCATATGTCAAGGGTGTTTTGGTAATTAAACATGCTTAGGTGCTGTATATATTAACCAAAAAAAAACCTAATCAGCTTTTGTCATTAGGTGCTTCAAGGACTAGTTAGCTCTATTGTTTGTTTGTCTGGCACTCGTAATATTTAATGTCATGGTAAATGTTAAACTTGCTCGTGATCAATATCCTAAACGTAATCAAGGTAGTTATTGGTAATTGCACCACTGAGGTGGCAGACATCCTATTGCCATGGTTTCCCTGGTGCCAACAAGGTGCTCAACTTCCTAAAGTGAGGCGATCTATTCGTATCTGCATGTTTTTGTATCCCTGTGTGTGTGATGGAAGGTATTTTTAATAACTTAACAATATTAATGCAAAGAAGAAAATAGTGGAATATCATAAGAAAGTAAAATAATAAATAACTTCAAGTCATTTAGCACAAGATTTTTTTTTGGTTATAAATTAAAAAGAATAGTATATAGTATATCCAGCGATGTATTTCAATGGAGCAGTAAATGAAACATTCTGATCACCTTACACATAACCCTTTACTTTGAATGAAGTTTTTTGCTTTGAAATTATGGAGAACCAGGTGGAGTATTATCATGGATCATAAAAATAAAAACATGAAAATAACCTATTATTTTGTAATACAAAAACTTGCCTGGCACTAACATCTTTCTGTCAATTAGGTACCTCACCTTCCTGTAGCACATGGTAAGCCCGTTGTGTGGGCCCTTTGGCCTTTGGTGGTGCTATTTAAATCCAAGTTATAATGCAATTTATTCACTATTCCTAAGCAGGGGTGTCAATGGACCGGTTTTGGGTTGGACTACCAATTAGACATTGAATTTGGACAGACTGGACAGACCAATATGACATATTGGATTGGACCTGGTCCGTCCATAATGAATTTATATTGGATTGAGCCAATTTCTGGTCCATTGATAGAAGATAAGAACATAGGTTTTCATGGACCAGGTTTGAGTTGAAACTAATCTAAATTAACAGGAATTTGAACAGATTGGACAGTCTCTGGACTGGTCCAAAATGGTCCAAAATGGTCCAAAATATTCATTGGACTGGATTGGACCAGGTCCATTTGTAATGGACTCACATTGGACTGGATCGGATTGGACCAAATCCAGTCCAATTGACACCCCTATTCCTAAGGCTCAGTTTGGAAGGAGTACGAATACAAGTATGTAGAGTACAAAACCTTCAAATTTGTATTATTTTGTATGTATTTGCACTGTAGATATTTGTGTTTGTGTTCCTTCCAAACTGAGCCTAAATTCAAACAATGTGGACATCCTAGGTAACCCAGGCTGGTACAAAACTTATGCTTGACATGGCATAGAATTTTTTTCTCCCAAGTGTGATATTCAATTCTTAATAGGAGATACAATATAGTTAATGCGAAAGAGCTAACTGTGAATAATGTATGTCTCTACCTTTGCTTCTCTCATATTTGATAGATCCCATAGTTCTTTTGTCTCCTTGTGTATTCACATGCCATTTTACTGGAGTTCTCCCAATTTGCAGTCACTTTGGTTTCATATTTGACGTTACTGCACAAGATAATGACCTGAGATTTAAACATGTGTGCAGACCCCTATTCTGTGGTCCCATGGTATTGCTGACAGAACAGTGTTGTTTGAAGCCGGACAAGCTGGCCCACCATTCCTTGAACAAGCTGGCATAAAGTGTGAATTTAAGGTAGACATATGCATTACTTGTGTTCGTCTGCTCTTGTCAAAGTTCGATTACTGATCCTACTGAAACTAATGGGTTTTGTAATTACAGGCTTATCCAGATCTTGGCCATTCAATCAGCAACGAAGAGCTTCGATACCTAGAATCATGGATCAAGACTCGGCTGCCAAGCTCATCATGGATTGCCAATTTATGGGATTGCCACCCTGATTGTTGTTGGGTCCCCAGTGTTTTAGATATATAGGGTAAAGTGAAAACCCACATTACCAGATTTTCTGCATGTTGCTGCTGATAACTCTCTTCATTTTTATTTGACAGCCAGTAAACTGATGGATTGTTGCTGGTGTTTCCTATTAAAGGTATTACCATCAGGTAGTGGTAGTCCAAAGGTCATTGCTCCTATCTTACATGTTTTATAGCTTGGACCTTGGATATTACTTTAGGGTTTTTTTTTCTTTTTTTGGGCATATAGGTCCTTAAATTAATGTTTTAACCATATTGTCTAATGGACGGTTAGACTTTATCATCAGCTATTGCCTTTCGAAATCAGGTCTGCCAATTTGGAGAACAAGTTCATAAAGTACCATGGCCAAATAAACCCCCGATGCTTGTTTTTCATATGTGCTGTTTACATGTACGAGAGAATTGTGAGAATTTCTTAAGATTCTTGGGATGCGTTAAATCAGGCATTTCTTAAGATTGATGGAATACGAACATAAATCTATCTTAGACTCTGTAGATGTTCAAAATACCGATACGCCGGCGAATCGATACAACTTTTGATGCTTTTTTTTGTATTTTTTCTGCAACTGGTTCAGGGGGCTGGTTTAAGGCTCCTTCACCCCCTGAACCGGTCAGACCCCTAATACACCCATTGTCAAAGGGGTCCTCGATACATATCAGCTGATACGGGCCGATACGTATTGATACTTTGAACCTTAGATGAATGGCTTTAGTAGAGTTCACCCAATATAAATTGTTACACATGATACTAAGAAAATGTTTCAAATTCCCATTGAATATTATTCTCCAAATTTTAAGGAAGGCATTTATTTTCCTTTATTTTTAATTTTTTTTATCCGCAACAAAATACAGTCTTGAGGCTTGAGTTGTTGCCAAATTTGATAGACTTGTCGTCAATACACCTGCAAGGGGGCAATGCACCTAAGAACACTTCGATCAATAAAAATGCCTGGTGAAGGAATTTACCAATCACAGATTCTTGTTGGTGAATCACAGACTCGAGCGTTTCTCAAGTCTCAAGTTTCCTTGGATTACTAAAAAAACGTTTTGCACTTTATTGTCTCAAATCAAGAACTCAAATATTTGGATAGAACTTGAAAGAACGGAGAAAAGAAAACCAACTTTTACAGATTAGCTGGCATTTCAATTCACCTGAAAATGTGATCCACTCTAGTGTCGATATATAAAACCAAAATTACCATCACAAAGCGTAGATTATGATTGTGATAACAGTAATGCATGATCTGCTTCTCAGCACTGTTGTGTATGGCTTAGTATAGTGGATGCTGCAATCATACTTGGGCTGTAGTCAAGAGAACATGGTCTCAATTCCGGTGGGCACAATTTGCTTATATAATTTTGGGAAGGACAGAGGAGTCTCAACACCTTTTCAGCTGTGATTGCTTGTGCTTTCCGAAGCCCTTCATCATGAATTACTTTTCTGCAATGAAAAAGAGCACATGTTACAACTTCCAGAACATTATTACTTTAGAATAAGTTTAGACACCCATAAAATTTTCTCCTTTTTTCTTTTCCTGGGGATGTAGGTATGGAGGGATGAGGGAAGGACTTTCCTTTAGTGGCAAGCATTCCTATGGTTAAACCAGAAATCACATAAGCTGTTATTCAACTTATTAACTTAAAACACTTTGTCTAGGAAAAATCTATGATGACGGAAAGACATGATACCAGAAAGGCTTTGACCAATCAAAACCCCTTGTGAATTTTGATGAGAACCCACCTGATTGGTTGTCACTGTTATGATGCTGGTTGATTGGTTATAAGTTTTCCGTTCCAGTATCATGTCTTTCTGGAATCATAATCGAACCCTTTTTTTTTCTAACTAGCAGTTAACAAAATTAATAATATGATACCGTTGCTTTCATTCCAATTGTATATGCTCATCCTCTTCTAAAGAGAGCCCTCTTTTTCCAAACAAACTTGTCAAATTGTTTGGGGAGCAGTGAAAGGTCCATCTTCTTCTAAAGGATCTATGAAAGCTGCCTTCTAAGGCTATATGGGGATACTCTAGGTAATGCCATGTCAGTATCACACCCCCTGGACTTGTATCTTCTTCTCAAGAAAAGGTTCAAATAACCTATATGCTCATCTTATTTTAATCAAAATATTAAGAAATATATGTGAACAATTCATTCAGAACCTGGAAAACAAACAGAAGAGAAAAAGATCATAAGCAGGTAGAAAGAATCCTACATGAGGAATTCAACAAGATTCTTTGGCGTGCAAGCCTGAAAGAGAACTTCAGGAATAACAGCTGAATCCAAGAGAATGTTGGGGAGGGAAATGTACTGTATCCTTGCTTTGTAGCGAACAAACCATTCAGTTAGGAGATGAGCTCGATAAGTGACAACACATGGTAATCTTGCAAGTTGCAACTCTATGGCAGCAGTTCCAGAAGTAGTTAAAGCAACCCTGCTTGCCTGCAAAGAATTTGATTCACCATGGAAGAGTCACAACTTAGTTCAGAGGAGGAATGGCATCATCCTGGGCAAGTCCACCTAAGTTGGAAATGCAAAAATTTAGTAGGACCTATTTCAGAAGTAACCAATTTAGGCTAGGTTAATCCATCAAAAAAAGGCTGGGTTGCATAACATACAGGAAAATTAAGACAGATATACGTTGTGCATTTAAAATCATCCAATAGGGAGATGTCTCATACATGGCAAGAAAGGACCCTGAGAGGCACCTCATTTTCTCTGGAATTTGTAGAATTTATTTATTGTTTAGATTCCCTTTTTTAATTATATTTCTCGACAAAAATAACACATCGGGAGATAATTGTTCCTTACACTGAAGGCATCATATCTCAACTGTTGTGATTCTCCAGGAATCAATATTGTTGGCACAGACCATGTTTGAATGGCTCTACTGATATAGTTCTCCACATGGCAATTAGGTGCTACAGGAATGACTGTTGTCAACTCAGGAAAAGATCCCTTTAATAACTTAATAGTGTCTGAAAATATTGGAAGCATGCGAGTAACCTCTTGTAACCTGCTGCCAGGAAGCAAAGTGATGACTGTTGTTCCTGTAAAAGACAAACCTGTAAGGTATAAGGACAAGCTGACAAATAAAAAGTCAACTGGAAGGATAATGATTTTGGATCCAAGACTATATGCATGAGATCTTCTATGTTTCCATAAAGATCAAATACTAAAATATTTATCTAAATTGAAGAGAGGTTAAAAATTCTTCTCCATGATTGAAAAAAAAAATGAAATTGGAAAGTTATACACCATACCTATGAAAGAGTACTGCGGAGTTAAGCAAAAGGTCCACATTACTACAACTCCAAATCCTCTACTTGTAGGGCTTGAGTAGTAACTTGCTTCATTGATTACAAAATTACTAAACTACAACTAGTTATATCCTTTAATGAATGTTGCAAAAAAAAAAAAAAAAGCATCATCATCATCCAAGCCTTACCCCAACTACATGGGGTCAGCTACATGAATCCTGTTTCACCATACTGTTCTATTTAACATGAAAAGACAAATCAGGATCCATGATCATGAGAGTTTAGCAAAAGTTTTAGTTCTGGATGCCAACTGATACAACAGGCCTGGGACTTGGAGTGGTGGTGTAAGACAAGCTTACAATGGCAGAGTTAATTAAAATTTCTAGCATGTCTGTTCGATAAGAGCAACTATTCCACATATTGGTACACGACCCAGATTCAACGGATGCTAAAAAATTGGACACAGCTTAAGAAAATTCTGCACTTTCCAATTCAGCTTCAATAATTGTCAAAACCTCTCCAACAACAGAGTATCTATTCTTAGAAAAATTAGAAAGGAAACAGTTTATTGAAACAGAAAGGATTTAAGAGCTTTCGTTGATAACATTACCCGAAGATATTCTATGTTCATTTCGGAATCCTTCACCATCACCCTGCACCTTCCATTCATTTAGACAGCAATCTTTTCCCTGAAATTAAGTTAAATTACTTTTATTGACTAGAACCTGGATGAATTGCATTTGACATTCAAACTGAAAATCAACAGCAAGCAGTTTATTGAATATATATATATATATATAAGCAATCATAATGAGGCACTAAAGCACAGAAGTAATAATTGCATCCACCTAATTTACTTGAGGAGGATTTTTTTCTTTTTTTTTCTTTTTCCTTTTTTTAGAGATATTACTTAAATCTCAGAAAATCTAAAAAGGTATCCCTTGGGTTCGCTTGTTTCAATGTTGAGGGAGTTGAAAATTTTTCATAATAAAATCTCATATATTGATCAGCATATTTTCAACTCTTTTACAGCCAAAAAAAAAAAAAACTTCGTTTTCTGTGCTTTTACTTCAAATTCAAAGTAGAAAAAAAGGAAAGCCTTAGCAGAAAAGAAATTAAATTAGGACTCTTTAAATCACAGAATAGGAGATTTCCTATCAGTTGTTTAACATATCACAGAATAGGAATGGGCTGGTGGTTGATAACTATGAATCTTTTAATGGTAGATCAAAGTGGTAGCCACTGTTTATTTAGACACCCAAATGACTTGAAGTTGGCTCCAGTGTTTGAACTGTTGCAGAAACTGAGCAAGGTGGTGATTAACACATCATAGATTGATAGAAGGGTGTGGATTTAGGAGAAGTCTGGTAATTCAGCAAAATCTCTTTACAAATACAAACATGTTACAGTTTCTAACATTGTTCCATTCTCAGCTTCAAAAATTTGGATCTCAGCTATTCCCTTTAAGGTGTCTCTTCTTGTGTGGATGACTATTCTTAATAGATGCCAGACTAAGGATAACTTGCAGAGGGGAGTGAGGTTGAAAAGTGATACTTGTGTATTGTGTAATGAATGTACAGAAACTGTTAACTATGTTTTCATTGTATAATATAGGAGAATCTTTGGGTGTGGGTGAGAAGCATTTATGGGGTGGATGGTTGTGTCCTAACTCCTAAAAACAGTGGAAGCATTTTTCAATTGCTGGAAGTTGCAGGGATTGAGTAAAGAATGGGCTACGGTATGGAAGATAGCTCCTCTTGCTGTGTTTTGGACTATATGGTCTGAAAGAAGTCCAAGGATTTTCTATAACAATAGAGAGTTGGAGGGCATGTTGATCACTATACTTCAGGCAAGGCTACTCTCATGGGTTGGCCTGATCAGCCTACTCAGGGGGAACCATATGACTCTTATTTTGATAGAAAAGTCATTGTGTATAAACAACGGATACAAGGCTTGAATATTCCCAGTGTATGGAACCTTGGTGTGCATGGGGCTTATGTAATTACTTCCTTTTTTTGTTTAATTCAAATATATACTTAATCTTCAAAAAGAAGGATTGTTTACATCTACACCCTTCTTTTATGTCCCTATTTGAGATTTTATCTTCGTGATCATCCAGCTCTATTTATTGTTAATTACTTAATTCAGTAAATAAAATCTTCTTTTTTCTGAGGAATCCATCACCTCTAAATCCAAAACTAAAAACACTTTGACTAGATTGTCAAATAGCTAGTTAATCTTTTAACTGCTAGATTATGCATTTCTTGAAATAATAAATCCATACCAGATTCAAGTCTAAAGCATCTTCCAGTATGGGATGGCCCACAAAGGTTGCATTGAGTCCATTTGATCTGCAAACTTCTTCCTCAAATGGAAGAATGCACAATAAATGATCCACAAACTCACATAGACCTCTGAGCCTTGATTCACCACCCTTCCATGCCCAAAACGACGGTGCCACGTAATGGAAGTGGACAGGACCAACTAATCCTTGATGCCTATATCTAGCTACAAGAAGCATTTACTTATTTTCTACTCTATTTTTAACTGAATATAAGCATTGCTACAAAGTTTCAGAAAGTATGAACATGTTACCTCTTAATTGCCTTAGGAAGCGGAAAGAGAATCCTTTGGAGTCAACTGTTACTACTATATGGGGTTGAAATATAAAAGCCGCTTCTGTTGCTTCCTTTAACTTCACCTGTCACTTCCAAGTTCCAGCACAAGAAAGCATACTGCCTAAGATAAATAATTACCATGGATGCCTAATTTAATAACAAAACAGGTGCTATATTGATGTGCAAAAGCCAAAAGGACAACAATGCACAACTTACCCTAATTTTGTTCAAGTGTGGCACCAGTTCCCAGATGCCCATTATTGCAATATCCTCCATGGGAAACATGGATTTTAATCCTTCCTTGGTCATCAGAGTTCTGTTTGTATAGATTAAATAAATAGATTCAATCCACGGGAAACATAGATTTTTTTGAAAAAAGGGTAAAGTATGATTGTATTAATATAAGGTCCTGTGTACAATGAGAAGCTGTACAAAATAAGGAACTCAAAAAAAGGCCATCCTCAAAAAAGTATAATAAGAAATACTATCTCTAAAAACAGTAAGTATAGACATCCAACTTCTCAAAACCTCTATTGCTGAGTTAATGACCTCGGCCTCAGTAGTAGATTTTTTCTCAAAAATCCTATTGTTCCTTTCTGACCACACAGCCCACAGAACTGCCGGAGGGATGGAAGTCCAGCATAACTTTCCTTTCTTAGACAGCCCCTGGATATGCCACTCCTCTAGCAGAGCTCTAACTGAGGCTGGCATGCACCAGCTTAGATTCAGGGAATTGAATAAGTGTGACCAAACTGCAGGACTAAACTTGCAATGAAGGAAGAGATTCCCGGATGGTTCTACTTGCATATTGCAGAAACATAGATTTATGTTTACAAGATTAAATAAATGGAAGATACACTCTCAAAGGCTAAGAGTTAATAAAAAAAGCGATATCTACTGAATTCAGAAGCATGGACGTAATAAACAAAGAATTACATCAAATGCCCCTACCAAGTATAATAAGGGCAGTTAGTTGAAAGTGAAAAATCTCTATCGGTTAGCAAAGAGCTTATTGAATATATGATCTATTTTGTTGGTAGGTACTTGAGGTCAAATTAGCAATCCTCCCAAAGATACAAGTATCTCAAAGTATAAGAAGAGATTGCATTGATGGGTACCTAAACAGAAAATTAGAGAACCCACATTGTTTTGGTCAACTGTGTACGATGATAAATCAGTGAACAAGTCCAAGAAAAGCATGAATTATCAATTTGTGAATTGAGTCCGTGCACTTGGAACCAAATTTGTGAATGGCCTTTCTATGTACTTGTAATATATGGAACCATTAAAAGCCGCATACTTCGAAAACGACAGCAAAAACAAAAGAAAAATTATAAATCCTTCGACAAACTCCAGACATTGGAACAACTGAGCAATAAAGTATTCTGAAAATAAAAGCATGGGAACTGTGGAAAAGGCAACTACGAAAGAAAGGGTAAAGGATACCTACTTCACAATTTCGTGTTTATCAGTTTAACAATGAAATNGATACCTACTTCACAATTTCGTGTTTATCAGTTTAACAATGAAATAAGCCCAAGATGTGTTGAACCCAGATGAACGAAGTTAGTGAAACATTGGTTAAGATCGGAGCACAAGAAGGCTAGCTTACCCTCCGACACCGGCGAAACGGATTGGGAATGGACAGAGTTTCTTAAGAGACGCCATGAGACGAGAAGCTATGACATCTCCTGAAACTTCTCCAGAGACCATGAAGATCCTTAACTCTCCGTCTTTAGCAGCCATTTCCACTGCAGCTTTGCTACAAACAGATAGTGATCCTCCCAGAAACCTCGCAAACTTCTTACACAACTTATTCTTCACTTGTCCAATCGTTCTGATCAACATTTTCAAATCGAGTTTGTGTCACTCAGAGATGAATGTGAAGCGGTTTAAGTTCCTCTGCTACGGCGCTCGAGGCAAAAATATTGAAGCAGGATTCTTTTAACTGAATATTGAAGAATCTTCTGCTGTAGTAGAAAGCCACATGGATTATACGACTGTTGATGAAAAGGGAACCATGGGCCATGAGGGCAAATTTCATATACGCTCCAAATTTGGGTAAAATATTCATCCAAATTAGATGGATTAAAAAAATCACTTAAATTATCACTAAGTTTTCTTAATATATATATATATATATATTTTATTTTACCTTTCATTATTCTTCAAATTTAAAATTTAAAAATGGTAAAATCTGCAGAAAATACTATCTCTATAACTTGTGAGATTAGACGGTTTCATAGCAAAAAAATTAAGACTTTTCCTTGCATTTTTTTTCTATTTTCCTTGCATTTCTTTTCTCTTTCTCTTGGTTTATTGCATGGTTTTCAAAACTGCACCGAACCAAACCAGATGGTCGGACCAGAAAAACCGGGAACCGGCCAGGTGACTGGTTCCATTTTTCTCCAAAATTGGATTTTTGCCAATAAAAAACGTTGATTTGGTCAGCAAACCGTTAACCCGGGTGGTTGAACCATTCGAACCTTCAATCCGGTATCTGGACCTTGACCAGTTCGTTGTCTGGGTCGGTTTTAAAAACCTTGGTTTATTGGGTTAGCCGTCGAGGTTTTAAAACCATCTTTGACCTAGATGGTTAGATTGTTCTGCCCGAAAACCAACCAAGGTATTAGTTTGGTTTTAGTACTAAACTGTCATTTTATCAAAAACTATTGAATTAGTCAACAAATCGTTGAGCAGTCTGACCATTTAAATGTTTGACCCAAACATCGTCGTCGCCATCACCGCTACAGGTCACTATCATCATCACTCTCATTCCCTTCTTCTTCTTCTCAGTCCTCTTTCTTTTCCAAGTTTATTCTTCTTAGCCAACAAAGCCCTCTTTTCACTCTCTTTCTCAACCCCCTTCTCATAATATTTATATCCATTTTAACCTAATATTTCAATCCAATGGTAAGATGAGATATACATGACTTTAAGTTTTTAATTGTTGAAATGTTTGAACAATTTGACTCAAATAGTCAAACCACTAGCCTGAAAACCAGTGGCCAAAGTGGTTTCATTTCTTATTCGGTTTTTAAAAACCTTGGTATTGGGTATTCTGTTAAAAGACCCATTGGCATCAAATCCAATTTCAGTGTAGAGGTATGAAATCAATAGGAATGGCAACGGGGCAGGTTTGGGGCGGGGCACCCCCTCCCCGTACCCGCCCCGTCCCTGGTGGCAGGGCGGGTTCGGGGCAGGGCATCCATTCCCCATTAGGGACAGGGAAACCCCGAAATTTCCCCGCTACAAGGCAATTACTTAAAAATTATCTATTTTATGGACAATTTATACATACGATATAGGAATTTGGGGGTATTTTAGAATTGATTTATAATACTTTAGGGGTAATTCAAAACTAAAATTATGGGATCCTAGGATTTTAAAAATTTAGGGAAAAGTTAGAGATATTTTAAGTATCAATATTAAACCCAGATATATTTTACTAGTTTACCTTCAGGTTCCGGGGGGGGGTTCGAGGAATTATATACAAAACTCGACCCAACTTGTACCCGGTTCGGGGAAAATCTACCCCGTTCGGGGCAGGGCGGGGGCCCCGTTTTATGGGGGAAATTGCCATCCCTAGAAATCAATGAAAAGAGAAATGTGAGAGACAATAAAGAGAAAAATAGGGTTGGGGATGAATTCAACCAAATATAAAAACATATAGTTGGGGGAAGTTCTAAATGAATTTAACCAAACATGTATAGCTCATTGAAACATTGTCAATAGGGTTGCAAATGGATCGGGTTGGATTCGGTAAATGGTATATCTAACCAATAAGAAATTCGATTAATCCGAATTCGAATTTGAATATTTCATTGGATATTAGATTCAAATCCGATTCGATTAGAATTTTAATAAAAAATTGTGATGATATAATATAAATAATATTATATTATTTATATAATATAATACTATATAATAAATAATTATATAAAGAATATATAAATATACATATAATATATAAATATATATAACATATAATTTTTCATAACTAACGGATCGGATCGGGGTCTATCCGAATTCGATCCGTTAACTAAACGGATCAACTTTCCTGTTCCGATTCAATTTGTTAGGATCAAGGGAGGTATCTAAATCCAACTCTTACTGTACCGGATTTGGATTCAAATCTGATGGTGTGCAGTTTGATGCTCCCTACTGGCAAACAACTCAAATGCTGAATTGAGTAGGTTGCCTAGTCAAGCTGCAAGAGAAGAGTTATTAGGGTGTCCGGGTTTCTATACCCGGGGGCATTCTGATGCTTAAGTCAGCGAACCGGGTTGCTATACCATGACCTCCATGAAGCACGTCCAAGATCTCCGACATGTCTGATTCGGAGGTGGTTTCACACCAAGTGACGGACTCCACATAAGCGGGGGGTGCCTATCCAATCGCACCCAAAGCAGGTGGGGCAATAGTTAGCTCCGTCAACATGGCGTCGTGACCCGGGGAAGTAGGAGGCGTCAGCTCGCTCGAGGAGGAGGTCACTCGTTGTGTCACACAGGCCGCTAACTAGATCCTTACTAGGTTGGCAAAGGCAAGTCGCCTATTACACCGACTTGTCATCGTCCGATCTATGTAGTTCACCTTGTCGAGGTGGGGACGAGGGGTCCGCAATGGATGCAAGGTGTCTGCCATGCCCTCAGAGTCCACTTACATGGAATTGAGTTGTCGTGGAGCTATGTATCGTGATGTCACTAGAGGGCCAAATTACCCCTCATCAATTGCCCCACACTCCTAAGCCAAGGTCAACTCGGTGAAGGCAGTAGTCCACCGCAAGCCTTTGGTTCGGAGTGATGGGTCTGGTTGGTTCTCTACAAGCTTAGTTTGGCTCGCCCATCTGGTCAAGAGAGTGAGTTGTTGCATGCATTAAGCTCAAATTTTGAATTGGGCGTGCAAGTTCAAATTTCGAATTCCGCCACCAAGTGTCGAGGTGGCTTAATTAGGTAGGCAAAGTCAAAATTCAAATATGTCGCTAAGTGTTGAAAGTGCACGTTGCCTTTTTGGGCCGTTAGATGAAGTGCATCTCCGTCGTCAATTCTCATGCTCTTCCGCTATAAATAGGGGGCCCCTGTCGGGTCCCCACTGCACTGTTTGGGAGTTTTCTGGACTATCGCTGAACAAGTGGTCAAGCAACTCACACACAAGGTTGGCTTTCTTTCTTAGTTCGGTAAGTCCTCATTCCTGAGTTATGTCTAGTGGGTTGGAGAGCGAGTATCCCCGAGCCACTCGAGGCGAGGTGAGGACCTCGACTCAAGAGCGATGAGGATCCCATAAAGGGGCCTCGACCTCTGAACAACCTAGGATTAGGTCAAAGTTTGGATGTATCGAACTCAATGGTGAGGAGGTAATTGCTTTGGCGACGACCTTCCAAATACCCCAATCTTATGGGTTCATTTTGCCCGGGAAGACCAACTCCCTTGGAATCATGGGAGAACTGAAGTCTATGTCTTCGAAGAGGCTTTTATTGTCAGACTTCGCTTCCCACTCCATCCTTTCATCTGCGAGGTCCTTTAACATTATGACATCTCTCTAGGACAGCTTCACCAGAACTCGATTAGGACCATAGTGGGGATGATCTCTATCTGTTTCCACCTCGGTTTCGAGCTCAACATAGATATTTTTTATGGGTTCTATCAAATAAAGAAGATGCTCCATGAGACTTGATGCTTCTACTTGAGCTACCAACCTAATTTTAAGCTCCTGAGCGGTTTCCCTTTGAAAATAGTGAACCAAAAGTCAAGATACTTCTTCCTATCCTAAGAAGACGGTTGGCACTTCGATCTCGTTAGCCTCTTTGTCGTACACCTCAGACCATAAGGTCGGCACTTCGATCTCGGTTGGGATGACGACATCTGTCTCGTAGGTCAAGTTGAAGGGAGTTTCACTGGATGTTGTCTTGACCATAGTCTGGTAGGCCCAAAGAACATTGGGCAACTCGTCCAGTCACAAACCCTTAGCTCGAGAGAATAGAGCTTTGTGTTCGCGGAGTATTGCCCCGTTCGTCACTTCGGCCTGACCGTTTGCTTGGGGGTGGGCCATCGCGGTGAAGTTCTGTTGGATTCCCATCTTGGTACACCAATTTTGGAACTTAATGTCCTTAAACTTCTTCCCATTGTTTGATATTACCACCCTAGGGAGTTCGAACCTACAGACCGTGTTTCTCTAAAAGAAGTTTTGGACATTCTGAGCTGTTATTGATACTAGCAGCTCGGCTTCCATCCACTTCGTAAAGTAGTCCACAACGACCACCAAGAACCTCCTCTGCTTGATCGCAGGTAGACCTGTTCATGGGTCGGGCCGGGCCGGGCTTTCACTCTGTATTAACAGATTTTTCTAAGGCTCGAGCCCGAGCCCGGCTCGACCATCGGGCCTACAACTTGGGCCCGAGCCCGGCCCTCATAAAAATCCCGAAGCCTGGGCCTAGGCCCGAGCCCGAAATTTAGCCCATGTTGTTACTACTGCTGAAGTGGCTGAATAGAGAGAGAGTGAGAAAGAAATTATAAATATATATATTTCAATAAATATTATATTATTTATATATTTTATATAATATATAAAATACATATGTATTTTATAAAATATATAATGCTGAGTCGGGCCGGGCCAGGCTTTTTTGACAAATCCCGAGCCTGGCCCGTAACACAGTCGGGCTTACTGTGTTAGGCCCGAGGTCAGGCCCACGGGCCTAATTACATGACCAAGCCCAACTGGGGTGCGGGTCGGGCCATCGGGCTACCCGGCCCATGAACAGGTCTAATCGTAGGTGGGAAGGGACCAAGGATGTCTATCGCCCACTACGTGAATGGCCACGGGGTAGTAAGGTACCTCTAGTCGGCGGCGGGATGATGTGTATGTTAGTGTGTTGCTAGCACTTGTCGCACTTTCGAACGAGCTCTATTGTATCTACCTTAATGGTTGGCCAGTAATAGCCTTATTGTAAGGCTTTCTGGGCCACCATCCTGCCCCCCAAGTGTCCTTCGTAGAGACCTTCATGGATC